AATATGTCAAACTTGAACATTATTTGCATCTTATAACATGCATTACTGTCAATGCTACAACATTTAAAAAAAAAATAGTTTAATATTTACCCTTTATTGGCTTTATATTGTCTCCACTACTCTCTAGCGTTGATACAGGATCCTTGTCAGCACATTCTTCAAATTTTCATCTTTGCCCCTCTGTCCATGAAAGCAATAGATCTTTATCCTGTCTTGGAACTGGCAGACTTTATATGCCATCCAGTGTACAGATTTGGAATACTGCCAGATACTGCTTCGGTTTCCTACATATAATTTCTTGACAGTGTAATCTTGTTGTCTTTTTTGGAGATCTTAGGACATTTAGACAGTTAACCACGAACAAAAGAGTATAATGCTTTCAAAATTTTCTACGACATAAATATTTCTAAATAAAATTAAAAATTACAAGGAGTATTTTTACAAGTGGTTGTAAAAACGCCTGAAAAATAAACTTTCAATTTAACACAAAGATACACAAAATCTCCCAACAATATTTACAATCCACTAAACCAGCCTCCATAAAATATCGATCAATTCTCAGAAAAAAAACTGGAAAACGAGAACCAACTAATTAATACCCTTACTCCAATAAGATAACAATTAAATTATCAACTTCCACGAAAACGTTGAACTTTGTATTGCTTATTTCCTCAACGATAACATCTTGGGCTTATTATCTTCAATACACTTTAACCCTACCGTTAAAGTCATCTAAATTAATTTCGCTGGCATCATCTTAAGATATAAATACAAATTTATAATAGACTATCTCAGAAATTTCAAGTGCTTCGATCCTTTTAGTCTGAAGCGGTGAAGACTCTATTCAAATGCAAACGAAAAGGTTCATGATATTAATTTACATTGCTCTTTGTAGCCTACGTAACTTTTGATAAATTTCATCTCGCCTTTGAACCATCTCTGTTAGATTTCTTATCTCGCCTTAGGAGGCTCTTATGGCCTATTCAGCTTTTGTTCTAAGATGTAGATTATGTTTCTCAAGTAATCTTATACATTCGTTACTCAAATCCTCATGGATTCCTTTAGTGTGGTCTTTGAGTAATTTACTCGTGATTATTTGTCTGTTTGTTAGTTTTCGGTTTTGTATTTAATCTTTGTTTGTGGGATTTCGGTTTTGATAATAGGGTTTCATTGAAAACCTGTTTAATCTAATTGTGTGAAATATTATAATTTACATTAAGGCTTGGAATTTGGTTTGGGGTTTTAACCTTTATATTGAATGAAATTTTTAAGGGATATTTTGTAATATAATGTTTGTAAGCAATTAATTATTTTAAGCTCTTATCGAGCGAGTTCAAGCGACGATCTAGTTCATTTGAATTCTAATACACATTTTATAGTAAAATTAGATTTTAAAAGTACATTTTATTATATCCATTTAAAAGGAAATCTAATTTTTAATAGATATATAATTATCTACAGTATTGCATTCGAATTCGAACCACTAAGATATTTACTAAAGTCTTCCCCTTTTATTCAGAAACAATAAAATCCTTCATTGTAATTATTTTCATCTTTCCAAACTAGAATCAGATGCGATTATTCGCCAGAATTCCGTCTGAATATCGTGTTTAAGAAATGTTCTTGTTGCTAACAAATCCGGTATCTCAATAATAAGCTCAGCGGTTCAAGTTGGATTCAGATTAAAATAAATTAAACCGCGAACAATTCTTAAAACATTGTGTTCAGCTGTTATCTGTGAAGCCTTCAGGCGTTTCGTACTGTTTATGCTTATGTTAATTGCGTTTCACTTGTTTTTCAGCTCACATGAATTTCGTTTTGCGTTAATTTTATCTACATAGTAAATGTTTTCGGTATAACTCAGGTGGCGCATGTTTAATTAAAATTGGATTCTAGGGCTTTGTAGATTAGTTTTGAATTAGATATTATGTGCTTTATTATAAACTCTGGATAATCACGGCTCCGATCTTGTCTGCTGGTTGGTTTATCCTTACAGTATAGGAGATGTAATTTAATACAACGGCAATATTACCAAATTATTATCAATGTTTGACATTACACACATAACGTCATCATCATCATTAGATCATATAATTATCAGCAACAAGATGCAGGCCTTCTCCAATGGTTTCCAGATTCATCCAGCGTATCGATCTGTGTCTATTTATTTTACTTCGTATGTGTATTATAATAACATAATAGGTAAAATAAAAAACTTAATTAGTCCGTCAGTTAGATAGTGGAAAAATATTAGACACGTATTGTTTTATTTCCTCGTGTAAAGTTACAATACTTATATAAAGTGGAGTTCGGTTTAGGAGTGGGAGGTCATTACGTCACAACGTGCTATAAAATGTGGCACGCTATGACGTCATTTCAAATTAATATACAGTCGAAAGTATTTAATTTATGACGAATGAAAAAATGTATGTCTAATGTTTTAAATTAATCTAACAGACGGATATTAAAATAAAATTTAGGAAACTTGCCAATTATGCGTATGATAACAGTTGGGAGAATCACAATTTAGACCTGCAAGTACATTTTTGCTTGCCTCTTCCGCAACAAAAGTATTAAACTGTCAAACACCAAGCGGTCACCGGTGACCGCAACCTATTGTTCTATAATTGTGTCTACAAAACCGGTACTCGACGAGTTAATGGCATTTTAAACAAACACAAACAAAACTAAATTAAAAGCCAACAAATAAGACGGAAATTTGCAAATTCGTGGCCGGGGACCTATGGATCACAATTTAATACAACAGGAGGGCTCGGAGACAATGCCTCGTCCCGTTTTAAGATAGTTTCTTGAACAACTCGGACCAAAGTTTGCAAAGTTAAATAGTGCAAAGTTGTGCGATTTAGCCTCAACTCCGTTGGACCATTGTACGTACTTTTGTTGATAAAAAACAAAGTTACTACAGTTACTTTCATGTAAATTGTGGTCCTTTTTCTTCAAAGTTGTCGGATGATGGAATTAATTTGAACCTCCGTGCTCCGTTGGCAGCGGTTGATGGTTTAGAAAAAAATGGTGTATCGTTTCTGTATTGTGGATTTCGTGTTGTTTTTTTTTTCAATATTTTCCTTATATTTTCTTTGTGGGGATCAAATTGTGATTATATTGAATGTTTTTTTTGATACAGTTTCGTTTGAATGTTGGTTTAAAGTACCTATACGAAAATGAAATAGGTACTGTAGTTTAATAACTATAGCTGAATATATAGGTGCTGCTCCTCTGGTCAAATAAGTAACAGCGGTGTAGACAAAATGGAATTTTATTGTATTAATGTTAAAGTATATTATGACATCGGTTTCGACTATATGATTAAAATTGTTGTGTGTTAAAGTTTATTAATAAAAATTAATGTTGAGTTTCTACTACTTATTTCTCTAAATAAAAACTACTATATTATCTTTTTTATCATCAATAACTCATTCAGTAACTATTTTCTCAACTTTTATCTATTGTAAAAGTTTTATTAGTTATCTTATGAATAATAACGGGGCTAAAGTTGAAACTAGTTACATTTTACTTGACATAATTTTTTTATTTCAAGATAATGGAAAATTTTGCTAAAGTTTCATGATTGACGACAGCTTGAAGCTTATTTGAATGTTAATTATTATAATAGTAGTTGTAGTTTGTAAACTGATTTATGTTTGTTTATCACTTTGTCTAATAAATAGTTTATAATAGAGACGTTTGATATTCTAATTGTTTATGGTTTAAAAATTATTGGTCTATTTGCGTTCTCAGCTAAGTAATTCAGTTTTTTAGACTTATCATCTTTAAGTTGGGCATTTTTTGCTTATCTCGAGACTGTGGTTTTGTGGGATGTTATTTTTATAATGTCATGCCAATATTACTTATGACCTCTGTGAACATATTGTATGTCCTAAAAGCAGTTAGATAGGCACAATCACCTCCAAAAATTAAATTTAAAATTGATCCATATACAAGTAAAGGACGAAAAAGGCTATAAATATCTGCCAGAACCCATCTAAAGTGTCATTCGATAGCCTACAGCCACATACGACTTTACAACAGCCATGAAACAAAATTGCCATCCGCCATTTTAATCTTCTCAACAATTTTACAACTCCCCAATATTTTTCCGATATCCGTATCCGATAGGGGTCGTATAACTTCACGACTTTTGTTGAACTTCAGGGGTGTATAGACGAGTGATTAATGGTGGTATCCAATGTACACCATGTTATTAGTTCTATGTAATAAGGGGTGAGCATTTTGTCATCAAAAGCCTTATATAACAAGTTAAGCTTATTAACAAAAAAATTCGGGTTACTCACGTGAATATACTGAGAAAAGCTCTACTAGTTTCGAACCATAGAGGGGCCTCATGAGCAGCGTGCGCGGTCGCGGCGATGTCGCGTAGCCTACTGTTATTATAAAAACAAAGTTAAGTTTATTGTTACACATTGGCTTCATCAGCCATAAGTCGTCAACAGCGGAAGAAAAGCCTTTACTTGAATCAAAAGTCGTGGTAGGTGACAATTTGCTGTCTAATCGAGAAAATATCTATTGTATCGTCCAAATACTGAAGGCTACTCATTTTAAGTCACGCTTATGTATAGTTCTGTTCCTACAAATACTGTGTAAAATGACAGTGTTGGCCATTATATTTAATAACGACTTAAAATTAACCCTCTGAGTATCGTCATTATAGACACAATTAAAGAACAATAAGTTGCGGTCACCGGTGTCCTCGCTGTGTTTGACAGTTTAAGTACCCTTTCAAGATTCGGGTATAGCAGCTGCAAAATCCCCAAACTGCGTTATCACTGAAGTTTTTGAAAAATCGGAAACAACAGTTTAACTCAACCGAAAAATCTTTCCAATGCTCGGTACTCACGCTTGCGACCAAGCCGCTCGAAATTGCCATCCGCCATTTTAATCCCCTCAACAATTTTATAACTCCCAATATTTTTCCGATATCCCTATGCGATACAGAGTGATATATTAAAACTGTTTGACAGGTGAACCGGCGATTCGATCGCGATACGCACGACTCACCGTGTTGGTTCCCCCGGAGCCACCGCGCATCGTCGAAGGCAATTTCTTTTCAACGATAGAGGATAGAAATATCAAATTGGAGTGTGTGTCTATCGGTGGAAAACCGCCAGCTGAGGTAAGGATTGATTTCTATGTTTTATATAGTTAATTTGTGTTTGTGAGGTATTTTAAGGGGTTTTAAAGAAGTGTTTGAAGCTCTTTCTGAATTGTTTAGAGGTCATTTATGCGGAAGGTTAGTAGAACTGTTTAATAAAGAAATGAAGGAAAATGTGGTTCTAAAGTAAAACTGTGTAAAAGTTTACAAATAAGTTTATTTCTGAGATAAATCAAACAGTATCATGCAGACGTACGGTCGACTACCATAGATAAAAAAAAATATAACATATCTCCATACAAATAAAGACAGCGCCACTAGTGGCAAGAATATGAACTAGTTTGCGTTCTATTTTCATTTCAATATTTTAACAAGAAAGTACTATCGTTTAGTTCTAAGGGGAGTTTTGGATGTTCGCTATGACGTAATTAAGTAATGATTAAAACTATAAGTTAGGAATTTCATAGACATACTATAGTTAAAAGAGTAATTTCGAAGTACCTTAGCAGAAAAGTGGTAAATATAAAAATATCGGACAGTTTAAAAATGTTATTGTATTGTTTTTCACGAAAACAATTTCGCTTCTCCTATTTTAAAAAGTAATATTCGCACATGTTTTGCTGTTTTCGAATTGTATGTTTTAAAAATATTTTTATTTCATACAAAAATAGCTACATGCATTCGAACGCTTTTTTTAATACATATAACACCAAAATACAATACACTTTTTAAAAACGATATTACTTTTTTGATAAATTAAATTGAAGAAGATAGAATCCGGTTTAAGAATAATCTTTACAGCTAAAGGCCTAGTATGAGGCAACGTGATTTAAACAAAAAAAAATCGCTTTCAATTGCATAAGAGCTAAAGAGTAAAAAAATATCAAAATGTGGGTGACAAAATAGCACTAGTATCTCTGTTTAACCTTTGGAATATTATAAAAACGTTATCTTACGTATCACCTTTTATTTTTATATTACGCCTCGTTGGCCGAGTGGTTGCAAGTGCGACTGCCGGGCAAGGGGTCTCGGGTTCGATTCCCGGGTCGTGCAAAGTATTACTGGGTTTTTAAAAAAATCTCAGTAGTAGCACGGAGTCTGGAAATGTACCCGGTATATGGCAATAGGCTCACCCCCTATTACATGGGACTCATAACATAAATAGTGAAAAGTGGGTGTTACATTGTACAGTGGTATAATGTGCACCTCTGCCTACCCCTTTAGGGATAAAAGGCGTGATGTTATGTTATGTTAT